AGTTACCACATTTGTATAAGGATTGATATAACTGGTGACTATCACATTTTCAAGATGTCAAACCTGAGATCAGAACTGCCTCTCAGTAGTGGGGAAGGGACGAATATTTCAGCTGATTTACTCAATAAAAATTTGCTTCCGAATGTGTGAAAATAACGTTTCAGAGGGTTTGAAACTCTTGTGTCACGATGAGATCTGAAATTTTATGACCTTGCCAGCAAACAAAGCCGGAGTCGGTTGATTTTTCTTAGGGTCAGTTGGGAAACTGCAAAAGTTTTTTCCTAGGCCTTATACAATCATGTACATCGTACATTTTTGGTGCATGATATGGAAAATCCCTTCACTGTGATTGTATCCAAGTACGGAATGATTTAGTTCAATGTTTGCCCTTGCAGTATGATAACATCCTGATGGAGGAAGCTGCACAGATCCTGGAGATTGAGACATTCATCCCTCTACTGCTGCAGGTAGGTCTACTACACTATGCTTGATACTTCTATAGGAGAGATCACGTAAAAACATGGAGTATGCCCCAACAGTATGGATGTCATACATGTACAAAATGTATGTACAGTGTATGTGTGGGGTCGTGTGGCGTAGCGGTAGCATTTTTGGCCCGGAACCAAGAGGTCCTGGGTTTGAACCCCACCTAGTCATCGATGTTGTGCCTTTGGGAAAGGCACATTACACGCCTTTTTTCACGTCACTCAAGTGCAAATGAGTACCTAGCCTCAGTTAGGGACGTCCCTCGGATAGGACGTTAAATGGAGGTCCTGTGTTTGGGGAGAGCCACACCCCACGCACGTTAAAGAACCCACCGCACCTTTCAAAAAAGAGTATGGGTGTGCCCTGGTGTGCGATGGTCCAAATACTTGTCTGATTATTCACTACGGACTCCAGGAAGAGTAGTGTAAAATTCACACTAATGGAGATCCTATACAAACAAACAAGCAAACAGACAAACAAACGTGTACATGAACATCCCCTACTGTTGGCTTGTTCCGCAGAACCCAGAAGATGGCTTCAGCAGGTTGAAGAGGTGGATCATGATCGGAGACCACCACCAGCTGCCTCCAGTCATCAAGAACATGGCCTTCCAGAAGTTCTCCAACATGGAACAGTCTCTCTTCACAAGGTACCTGAACCGTTCATGCATGCCCGTAGCCTGAGGATTTTGAAGGGGGGGGGGTCTTCCACTGTCTGATGGACCAGCGAAGGCATGAGTTCCTTGGGGAGGGGGGGGGGGTTCTGGTTTCATGCTCCCCGGAAAATTTTGAAACTCGAATCTTCTGAAATGGCATTTCCTGTGTTTTATAGAGGATAATTTCAAAGGAAAAAATTAAACATAACTTTTTATTCAATGACAAAGTGAGCAGTTTTCCTACAATTACCTGACGGTGATACGAATCAGAAAAATCTTGGATAAAAATGGAAAACACAATGTGCCTACCGTTGAGAAAATTTGGTGTCCTTAAACAAAAATTGCAACAGCATCAAATCCGAAGCTAGTCTGAAGCTGGTGATTGAATTTCGAAAGTGGTAAACTTGGGCGTTTGAATTATTAAATGGAACTTTTGGAAGCCTCTAGAACATTGTGTGATAACCAAGTTATCACACTGACCGGAACACGTGTATGGAATGTTACATGTACCATGGCCTAGGTACATGTAATACATTGTACAATGTATACATGTACAGTACATGTACCTTGCCAGTACATGCATATAAAAGACTACAATGCAGTGTACAAAATACTTTTTTGAACCAGGTTGCCCAGTGGGCAACATATGGCAAGAATTAGGTTGCCCATCAGAATTTTAGGTTGCCCCACCTATAAGTTTAACTTACTACTTTCCTCAAATTCAGTAATGTTACATACATAAGCGTTTGACAATATTTCTAACAGCCTTTAGTTAACTGATACTAGTAATGGCCATTGATACCTAAAATTAAAAAAGCATCTGCCGGCTACAGTGGTGCAAGCCAAGTGGCCATGATTTCTTGGGGGGGTGGAGCATTCTTAAAATTCAGGTAGCACACTGGGCTACCTAGGTTCAAAAATAGGTTGTCCCAAGTAAAATTTGGTTGCCCGGGGCAACTGGGCAACCAGGTATTTTGCACGCTGACATGTAAATCGCTTTTTATTTCCCCTGTACAGGTTTATCAGACTTGGTGTACCTCCTGTTGATCTGGATGCACAGGGCAGAGCAAGACCAAGGTAGAAATGTCCTCCTGTCTCATCTGTAGTAAATATATGTGGCAAACATAAAAACATGCAAAAATTATCGGTCACAACAGCGACAACAGCATCTAATTTTTTGCTGGAAGCGGGATATTTTTGCATTTTGAAAATGACAAGAAAGTGGACTGTAATTTTTGCACATTGTAAGGATACATAACCTGTGCAAAACTTTGGCAATAGGACAGTCTGATAAGAAATCATATGCAATGGAAGTGCAACATTGCGCAACAATCTACATGTGTTTGTACATGACTTGTAACATGTACAACTGCCTCAAGAAGCGAGAAGAAGTTTAACGTGTAAATAGTGGATCACGTTTAGCTTTAGTAAGGTATGTAATTTTTTCCTGTTTATTGATTACCAGTTCCTGTACTTGTAAAACCACAAATGTACAATTAACGTCTTTCATTCATTTATTGAAATCTGCATCTGTATCGGAATAGCCGGTAAAACTGCCCTTAAGCATAACACTCCAGCTTCGCAGGCACGCGGCACGGCTGCAGCTGGCTATATCACACCGAATGACTGTCTTGTTACACACAATCTTTGTACATTTAATTGTAGGAGTATGTTGTTTAAACTTTCTAGTGATGATGCCCCTACCGTGCTTGGTGGCAACAAGTTCCACTCTACGATAGTTCTTGGGAAATACAAGTTTTGAACCCCTCAATTCTTGGTTGAGAACTCTGATATTTGAAGCAATGACCGTTTCTTCTTCCTTTCAGGGCTGGTATCAGATATTTAGTGGTTGTTACATCCACCAGTTTGGATGTTGTGAATGTAATGTTTGTCTGTACTGATGTGCTCTTTTCCTTGTTAGCATCTGTAACCTGTACAACTGGCGGTACAAGAAGCTGGGGAACCTGCCCCATGTACAACACTGGGAGGAGTACAGGCTAGCCAACCCCGGCTTCTGCTTCGACTACCAACTCATCAATGTGGAGGACTTCAACGGAGTTGGAGAGTCTGAACCTAACCCTTACTTCTATCAGGTAAGGCCACACTGACTTAGTTTTATGGATGACATCCTCAGAAGACCCACAAAACTAGTGCGAATGGGCGAATGAAGAAAATTCCAGCCCCCCAAAAAATGCTGCTAAACCACAGGAATATAAAGCTGGTATTGTGAATTTGTGGTAGTACAAAATGACTTGTACGACAACCTGGTACATGCCGGCCTTTTGCGACATTCATGAGTCGACACTGTACTGAATTTTGGAGTTCCATGGAGCTTCGGCAGCCTGGGTGCCATCCTCCGTAGTTATCACCGGCTCCCTACTGTCGCTACCTACATTTGTACCATGGACTACGGAGGATAGCTTCCAGGCCAGAGCCTAAGAGGAGATGATTCTTTTTTTTTTTTGAGACCAGACAAAAATTAATGCGTGCCTAGATATCATCTATAAAATTAAATAAGTCTTTCCACTCTCTTCTGTCCAGCGCTTCCCTTCTTGATCCCCCCTTCAAATTTCACACTTATATTTAAGTTGCCTGTCAACTACAATGTTCAAAGTTAGATTTGTCATTGTTAGTGAGTAAGATATGAAACAGTAGTATCACCTTAAGAGTGTCCGTTGACCCTGTTCCGTAAAAAAAAAGACCTGAACAGTAATTCTGAAATCCGTGCCACAGAATCTGGCGGAAGCGGAGTACGTTGTGGGCATCTTCATGTACATGAGGCTGCTGGGATACCCTGCCGAGAAGATCAGCATCCTGACCACCTACAACGGCCAGAAACACCTCATCCGTGATGTCATCAACCAGAGGTGTGGAGACAACGCTCTCATTGGCCGGCCCAGCAAGGTCAGCAGCAGGGGTCTTTTGTACAAAGATGTACTTCGGTTACAGTAGGTTTTATCATAAAACTGAGAAAAGTGTTGCACATTTACATGTATGTTAACCTTTCATGAAGAAACTTCAGTATGTTCTTTGCACCATTTGTTGTTGTTCAAATAAGATCAGTGACCTGGACCAGAGGTCTGTCACCATGGTAACTGGTGACATAGTAGACACTTTATAATGCATGTTGTAACAGTTGGATTTTACATTACTTAGCAGGTGCCAGGACAGGGACTGGTCACCATTCGTCATACTTGTATGAATGGGTTTTGACTAAGACTAAACAAAGCAGTATACTTTTTTTAGGCTAGATCATATATATGATGGAAAACATGATGTACTTTCTATTTGCTTTGCAAATGTTACTATTCTAGTGAGCTATATATACATGTACATGTACATGTAGTGTGTTGTTATAACAGCTACTGACAGTAACTGTAAACTTACCCTGCAGGTCACAACAGTAGATCGGTTCCAGGGTCAGCAGAATGACTACATCCTCCTGTCTCTGGTGCGCACCAAGGCTGTGGGACATCTCAGGTAGCCTCTTTAGCATCCTACCTCTTAGGCCACAGCAAGTAAATTTTATGGATGACATCCTCCGAAGACTCCAAATCTAATGCGAGCGGGCGGAAAAAAAAACAAGACGGGCCGAAAAAACTCAATCATTGTACAAATGGTTTTGATTCAGTGGGAACATCACATGTACACAGCCAGCATCACATATCGCTGCATCAAAGTTAGAAACAAAACATTAAATCAGAGCCTTGTCTTGTCTCCTCTCTTCATAGTTATCTGCCATGCACCTTCTGGCATGGCAAACTTACAGACATCTTTAACCATTTTCGGCATGTTGACCACTGTCGGAAGGCAACAAAATTTCTTTTTCTTTTTTCCCAAAATCAGGCAAAAATTAATGCGCGCGCTGATGTCATCCATAAAATTTACTCGCTTTGGCCTACGGAAAAAGTAAACTTAAGTAGTCTCATAGCTTTTTTTCAGGCATTGGGTTCAACTTGTTAGTCCACTGTGTCAACGGTAGGTATTGTAATGTGGAGACCATCCCTATCCTTCCACCGATTTTTACCTCCCCAAATTAGTGCTGTGTACTGGTATGCTGGAACTAGTCCCGGACTTGGAAAAATGTTTAGGTTCAAGTCTAAAAAACCTGAACGTCTGGACTTTAAAAAAAATCATGTCACATTCTTGTCACATTTTTGTTCTAAACCACCAGTGAAATCTTCAATTGTAGTAAAGAATTTGTGCTGCAAAATGAAGAAACTTTGCCATTGGGTATCGTCAAGTGTCAGCCTCTGTGAATTATTTGGCCACAGTTTTGCCCAGATGTGCCCCACAAACAACATTTCTTGCTTCTAAACCCTGGTAGTGTAGTGCTCACTACAAAATGTTGCCCTACTTTCTATTGGAAAATGTTAACTGAGATGGCCAATTCGTACATGTATTTTGTACATTGTGTTTGCCCTGGGTGTCCTGAACCTAAACCTCTGGACTTGAATCCGGACCTGAACCTGAACGTGGGTTTAGGTACACAGCACTACCCAAAGTCAGGTACCCATTTTACACCTGGGTGGAGTGAAGAACGTCATGTTAAGTGCCTTTCCCAAGAACAAAATGTGTTGCCAGGAATACCAGGAATCAAACCTGTGATCCTTGATCTTGAGAGTTGAGAACACAAGCTTAACAACTTGGTCATTCATCAAAACAATTTTACTACTAAAATCAAAGAACCCACATATCATAGAAGAAGTGGGTAAATTCGTCTTCCATTGCGTAAAAAAAGAAGTCAAACCCAGTAAAACTAGTGTCATGTCATGTTGTAGAATATAGTATAATGTTAGAAGTAGATATAGTCTCACATACCACTGTATTTTCCTTCTATGTTGTTTGTAACTGCAATTAGCCCTCGGGCAAGTATTTGCAATAAACTTTCAATTAATTCATCACCACTGCAAGTACAAATGTACCTGTATCAACAACATGGTCACATAAATTTTGCTCTACAACATGTACATGTATTGAATGATAATGGATAAACACATGATCATTAATTTTAATGTTTTATATTGATCTCTTGACTACCAGACCTTGCAATTGATTCTTACGACTTGGCCATCCAAAACTTTTTGCCAACAATTGAGCCTGTAACGTCTAGGTCTTGTGGTCGCTAGTCTAATTTGTGTAGTGCATGTGTATGGTGTGTGGAACAATGATGAACACTAACCATGTCTTGTTGTCACCCCAGGGATGTCCGTCGTCTGGTAGTGGCCATGTCTCGTGCCAGACTGGGCCTGTACGTCGTGGCCAGGGTCTCCCTGTTCCAGAACTGCTACGAGCTCACACCTGCCTTCAACCTGGTATGCACTCATCTGTAGTAATTTTTTTTTACCTCCATGAAGAATGTAGGTATTGTTTTTATAGTATGTCTGCTTTTGTGTGTGTCTCAGGGCTCGAAACTAAAGGTGGTCCAATGGCCACTGACCACTGAAATTTAGGCTGGGACAACTAAAATATTAGACACTTTGGGACATTTTTGAGACAAAAGAAAAATTATTGAATCAGAATGTCAGCCCTAGTTTTGTTTATCAGGCACATGTCCTGGCTTTTGGATCCGGAAAGTCCCCCCAAATTTTCTGTCTACACTGCAGTTATAGTGCACCTGGAAGTGAACATAAGCAAAATAAAGTTGACTTCAAGTTGAAGTCATACAATACTTTCAGTTCATCTTCAGTTCAGGACAATTGAAATTTATTTTTGGGACAGTGCTGGGACAATTGGAAGAAAAGTTAATTTCGAGGCCTGGAGTCTGTGTATACATATTATTTGGCTGTGTTTCCACAGCTGACAGCCAACAGTAGTACTGATATTTGACTGTCAGTAACTGTTCAGCAACAATTCAGTAAAGCAGCTAAGCTGTCATAACTGTTAATAATATGTAATCTCGTATGTTGTTTCCCTTGCAAAATAAAGAAAGACTTGTAGACACAATGGTGACACACTACAAATGTAGTCACCAACATGTCATGGAGGTCTCAGAATTCTTGTTTAAAAGGCTTTTATCTTTTTTTTAAGTAACATTATCACTATTGTCGTACAGCTAAATGGTTATGATACAAATGCATGTCTTTCAAGTTTAAATTTGGTTGCATAATGCTGTTCACATTGAAGTCCTACACTATTGTTGATAAACACAAAGGGAACTAAATTGATATGCCATGTGAGAAATTGTACCACTCAGCGAAATAACAAACTGTAAGGCTTTCCTGCAGAGATTTTTCAAAGGCATTTGAAGAAGTTAAATGATTTCTCTCTGTGTCACAGTTGATGGAAAGGCCACTGAAGCTGCATTTGACCCCACATGAAACATACCCTACCTTGCGCAAGGTGAGTACACTGGTCTGTTGTGTATTATTTGCTTTTTTTAGATGAGTCTTGTTGAGAATGAGTTGATGTTGCACTCTTGTATAACTTGATTATGGGTACTTAGTATTTCAACTTGAATGTTATATCGGAAGTATTGTTTTCACCAGTGATGGTTTCATGTTTGTGTGTTTGGCGGGATGGACAGATGAGTTGAAAGGAATAATATTAAACAAAATTTTACAACGGGTAGGGCTGTTTGTCAGAAACGTTAATGTATTTTGATAGCCAGATCACAAACCGTACCTACAATGTACATACCGGAAGTTACGTTGTATACGACTTCTATAAGTTTACCTTCGTAGAAGGAATACTGTACATATTGTTTTTGCTCTGTCTCCTTTTCCATTCCAAATACACAAGGTCAATGACCTGGACCAGATGGCTGTCACCATGGTAACCGGGTGCTGAAGCAAACACCCTGTGGTGTTGGGTTACATTGCAAGGATTAGTGTCACCTTATAGTAGTTTGCTAGGCTACACCATGTGAAGGTACATTGTACTCATTATGCATTTTGCTTTGAAAATGTTATCTTTCTTAAAAACTATTTTTCAGAATGGAGATCCGCCCTATGGTGCCCCAGTTGTAATCCAGGACATGCCCCACATGGCACAGTTTGTGTACGACATGTACAACAGGCAGGTGCACCACATGCAGGAGGCCATGAGGGTTTGTTTGTTTT